TCGCTTTCTGTGGCAAGGCAGCAACATTCTTTAATATAGCCGTAGGCTTTAAAATGGGCTCTTGGTTCATTAATTTGCACTTGAAATAGTTTTTTAAATCTGCTATTGGCTGCAAGTGATAAGAGTGACAACTTGAATATTGATCAGTTAAAGAGATAATTCAATACACTCAAATCCTTGGAATTTGTGTCAGTAAAACGGGATTAATAGAATTTGGAGGTGAATAGATATGGTTCAGTGGTTTAACTCCCAATATAAATGTTTTGTTCCTGTGTAGATACTTAAATGACTAAATAAAACTATTTATTTTTAATCTATTTACTAATACTTATACTTATATGAATTTGTATGCTTCAAGGCAAAACATAGTCGGACTCACTTTGTTGCACTGTATGTCAATCATTCAAACAACTTTATATAACCTATGTTTATAAATAAACGATTTAATTTCATTTCATTCATGGGAGTAACTCGCGATTTTAGTTAATTTAGTATGTCTAACGATAAATAGTACGAACGATATATAGTACGATAAATAGTACGTAACGATAAATAGTTATTATAAAAATTCCCCATTCCTGTATCTATTCACCTCTCGAATTCTATTCAACCCGTTTTACGGTATTGTTTTTCTTTAGCTGGCTATTTTAAAATAAGTAAGTATTTAGAACAACCATGACAATGCTTTATATTATAATTATGTGTTATAGGTACTCACATCAAAGTGATCTTCACAGCAATACAATAATTGTACACTGAAATATTCCGCATTGGCTTCAATACACCACTTTTTTCGTAAATTTTCTGTGATACGAACAAAGATTTTGTCTGGGCTATTTATTGAATCATTTTCTATGTGCCATGGTAATCGAATTGAATAGATTGTCTAAAATATTATTTCCTTATCTTCAATGTTTACGTTTGATTCGGTTTAAATTGAATTGAATGACATGACAGTTGAGTGTTGACAGTAATGACACAATGCAGATGTCAAATCTCTTCAACTTCAGAATTTCTTAATTTGTACTTATCAGTAGGCAAAGGCAGTGCTGCCTTTAGACCTACTTAGGTGTCGCGGAGAACCTAACGGGTAACTGGGAATCCGGCTCGACGTGCAGGAGAAGGAACGGGGTGGTTTTTAGTCAGTAAGAGTCTGAAACTCCCTCCCGCCTCACCCAGGCGGGAGCAGTCATTCGATGATTTTCGCCCCTTGAAAAAAAAATAAGAAATACACCTAGGTACTTAGGTTTTTTGTCTTTAGCCAAACGCCACTTTAGCGCTTGTCTACAGAGAGAGTAGAAATCAAAATACATAAATGGGGATAGCACTGACAAGTGTCAAAATTTACGTCAATCCCATAGTGTTAGAGCTTAAGGGCTAGTTTAAACCTATAAACGGTTTAGCTGCTTTATTTTTTGTATTGAATTTTGTATCATACTAGCGGCCCGCCCCGGCTTCGCACGGGTACATACACACACACATACACCCTTCTTTTTTGCGTCGGGTTTAAAAAAAAAGTAAAATCATAAATGAAGTTAGAATTTTTTTATTCATATTTTTTATTAATGTATTTTTTGTTTTTTTTTTAATTTCAAATTTTTTACAAATATCATATATTATATCTACAAAAAAAACAAAAGCCATTAGTTTTAGTGAGTCAGAGCTTCCCTGTAAACGATATTTGAAGTAGTTTTATTTAGTGGCGGCAAAATAAATTGATTTTCAGGAGCTCCGACACGTGATAGGCCAACATACAGTTGGCCATGAGTGAAACACTCTTTTCGTAGATCGATCCCTAATAATTCGAAGGTTTGGCCTTGGGACTTGTCAATAGTTAACGCGAAAATGATTTGACCGGAAACTGAAGTCGTTTAAAAGGGATTGGCAGATCAGTTAGGTTCATCGGTATCCTTGGTATATGAGCTAGTTGACCAGCCGGCACGTTATTTTATTACATTGACTCAGCCCCCCCATTAAAAATGTTGTGCTCTCTTGCTAATTATTATTTAACTAGCGACCCGCCCCGGCTTCGCACGGGTGCAATATGCATGTATTATACATACAAACCTTCCTTAAGAATCACTCTATCTATTAAAAAAAACCGCATCAAAATCCGTTGCGTAGTTTTAAAGATCTAAGCATACATACGGACATACAGCGAAAGCGACTTTGTTTTATACTATGTATTGAAAATGGCAATGTTTGACGCCATCAGCGTAACTCTTTGGCGGGAATTATTAAACCAACTACGCGCGCTCAATTACAAATTTTTCTTCAAGGCGTTATCATATATCATAATTGTTGTATAATGTATTATGGCTGAAAGGCACTTTCTAGTTGAATCTGCAATGCGGGAAGAACGCACAGAGCGGCAAAGAAACCGTTGCCGTCTCCGGCTCCAACTGGACGTCGAACATAAGAAGTAACAAATAAAAAAAAAATTGTAAGAAATTACAGACGGGAATTGTTCGAACAATTGTGCCAGGACGTCATTCCTATGCTACCTCGGAGGTGAGAAAACATGGGATCGAACCCACCCACAAAGTAAGTACCTACCTATAGTCTATCTATAAATTGTTAACTTTGATTAAATACATACTAAATAGCTACTGTAGTCCTATTGTTTCAATAATGTTAACCTGTTAACTTTTTTAGATACTGACTGCGTTGCAGTTTTTTGCCCGCGGCAGCTACCAAGGCTCTGTGGGTCAAAGTATAGACACACTCATGGCCCAAAAAACCGTCTCACGATCCTTGCGTGAAGTAACATCAGCACTCAATGCACCCAATATACTCAGAATTTTTTTTATTTACTATGGGGCCATTCAAGTATTACGTAAGCACCATAGGGGAGTGAGGGGGTCTCTGTTTCGCTTATTTTGGATGATATGGGGGGTAGGGGAATACGAGTATGATTACGTCAATGGTAGTTATTTACTTTTTTACACGAATGGCAACCCTCATATTGAAATTATAAATTACAATCAAACACCGACAAAGAACTAGACATTATGGTATCTAGGAAAATATTAAAATTACAATATGTATAAAAAAGATATAATTTAAAATGTTTACGTAAGCAAAGGGGAGGGGGTAAGATCTTTGCTTACTTTTGCTGACAAGGGGGGTGGGGGGGTAAATCATTGTAAAAAATATGCTTACGTAAATATTTGAACGGAATATTTGACAGTTCTGACATTGCGTTTTGCGTTCCGTTCCGTTGTTGTTTTACGTCGTAATTAAATACTGCAGTAAAGTAAATTCTAAACTTACGTGAAGTCAATAAAGCGGGCTGTGTGGTTAAAAAAGTACTCTCCTCTGTTTGGCTGACATTGACAGACTCTGCTGTATAAAATAAAGATGGTACTTCAACTTCTTGTCCCTCTTGTAAACCTGACATTAAAAAATCATAAGTTATAAATTAAATATATGCATCCTATTGGCATTGGCCATACGGGCATTTTCCACAAGTACACTCTAGCTATATATATCTCAATATTATGATTGTTATATTGTCAAGGTTTCATGATTATTGCAAAAAAAAACAAACTAACATAATGTTGTAGTGCTCTCCACTTCCTGACTCGGAGTCGCAATGGGCTTCTGACTAAACTTAGATGGAATAGTGTTCAATTTCATTCTGATCTTCTTTACTGAGCCCATTATTTTGTACTTCATATAGTTCTCCATATCTCGTTCTAGCTAAAAATATGCAAATGATTAGGTATTGTAGCTTACAGAATAATGAAGACTCACAACTGTGCACAATAAATAACCTAAATTCAAGTCCCTGTTGTATAAAAACAGATCAATATCTACTCATAAAATACTTGATTGTGTGTACTTACATCGAAATGATCCTCACAAAGATATAATTGAGATTTTATGGAGTATTTTTTATGATCGCGTCCTCCGAGTTCCAACCAAACACGTCTCATAGAAATACCTTTCGGAACAGTAATGAATAACTTTTCTGGAGTCTTCAATGTAGAATTCTTGCAATTTAACGCAACACACCAACGATACCGCTTATTAAAACTCATCTTTATTTTATAAATACAATAAAATCCGCATTCAACTTGATTACAAAATACAAGACTTGGGCATTTGACGTTTCAATATTTTCGTGCTAATGATGTCATCAAAATGGCGGTCCTTGTTTTGGCGCGTATATTTTACGACATTTTTTTTTTCGGCATGTTTTACCGCAAAAGTCTATGAACGAACCACTTCATTTTCTTCGTTTCATTCGTTCACGAATATTGTATATGGATCCGAATTTGTCGTTGGCGTGCGAAAGTGGAACAGAATAGGGTCACAAACGAGACTTCGTTTAAATTGCGTTCGTTAACGAAACTTCGCATTCGAGAACCGGAGTACGAGTAGGCCTCCAGAAATCCAAAAATGACGTCATTGAATCTTTACTAATATTATAAATCGGAAAGTGAGTTTGTTTGTTCCGATTTCAAGCCGTAACTACTAAACCGATTGCTTTGAATTTTTGCAGATGTAAAGTTAGAAGTCTGGATTTAATTAATAGGGGACTTTTTATCCCGGAAAAATCTGATACTCTCGAGGGAAAACGAAATTATTGGTATAGATGGCGCTGTGTGTATTGGTATATGTCACGTAGGCTACTTTTTATCCTTTTGTGACGCGAGCGAAGCCGCGGGTAAAAGCTAGTATCAAATAAAGGTGATTCATATTTCTTTAGAAATATCAGTAGGTAATGGTACTGTATTTCAGGGTGTCGTATAGATAAAACTATTGGGAAACCTTATTCCTCTATATAGTTTTACAAACAGCTCGATTAAAAAAAATGGATAATCGGGAGATCCCTAAATATCCCTAACAATCCTCAAATTCCTAATCCCAAAAGGACGGTAACGCACTTTTACCGCTTGGAGGGAACACTTTTTCGTTTTCCTCACTACAACGAAAAAGTGTAATTTTAAATTTTTGTTTTCCTAAATGAATGTTTTATAAGAGTGAGTACCTGTCATTTTGATGTCGCCACATGGCTTACAGAATAATACATTTTTGACTTTATCAATTAGGTACATTTATTCACATAAAGCATACATACATGAATTGAATCATTGTAACAAATATTACGACAAAAATAACACATTAAATAACATAAGGTCGCACTTGTTTATTACCCAGGTATTAGTAGAGGCATGTACAATGTACCACCAAGTTTAAGCGTGAGAGAGCCATGCTCCGGGACGAACGGGCCGACTCGATCGGAGCGATACCACGGCCGAGCAGAAAACCGCCGTGTTTTGTAGTGTGAGTGAAGTTACCGGAGGCCCAATCCATTCCCTGACACTCCTTAAATTCTTATTCCCTCAAGGCCGACGCACTTGTAACGCCTCTGGTGGTGTGGGTGTTTATGGGCGGCGCCGATGGCTTACCATCAAGAGTACAGTCTGCTCGTTTACCGGCTTATACCATAAAAAAGTTATATGTATTTAAGGGGTGGGTCCATTGAAGAATACAACATATTAACTGACTCCGTCTTCTGATTCTACAGTTTCTTTTTTGATATCTTCACTCGCAATAAAAGTAGTTCTATAAAAAATAAAAATAAATTATGTCATCATCAGAAGGTGGACAGACGACCTGAGGGCTTAGAACAAATTTTACTTTTAGGTTTAAAGTAAACGAAATGAGACTGCGTCGGGCGCTCTGATTGGTCGGACGCAATGAACCAACCAATCAAAGCCCCGAACACGGTCTCGTTTTGATCTCATTAAACGTAAAACAAACTCATACTAAGGGTACTTGAGAAAGTCCCAGACTGGGGCAAAGTAAGAAAAACCAATGACTTACTGTTGTATGCAGGTCTCCGTCACATCAGGCTTGATGTCCTCGTCCTCCGAGGAAAGGGGATCCTCCTCACTAGAATCATATAAACAAAAGGATATTGTATTACTATTACTAGCTTCTCCCCGCGACTTCGTACGTGCAATACCGTTTTGTCCCGTCCCCGTCCCCGTCCCCGTCCCCGATTTTAAGGATTTTTTCTGTTTTAAGAACCTTCTCCTAACAATAATAAATACCTATAACAGAAAAATAATTACTGAAATAGGTCCAGTCATTCACGCGTGATGCCGTGAACAAGGGAAAAGGTGTCGTAGGTGCGTTTATAAACATACAAGGTCCCACATACATCACATCCAGACCCAAAACAATCTGTGGATCGAACAAAATTTTGAGTTTGAGCCAGTTGCCCAGCCACCACGTCAAATACGCACTCAGAGTCAGATACGTGTCCCGCCTACATGACTCCACAAAGGTTGAGGAGATTGTGGAAATGTGGAGTTCATCAAGATCAAGGCAAAGCTTCATCTGAAGGTTGAGCAACTGCACTCGGTACACAGAGTGGACTTCAAGTCTTTTGTAGTCAGGGTGCCGACTGAACATCTGCCAACCTTAATGAAAGAGGAGTTTTGGCCGCGAGGGGTAGTCGTCCGACGGTTCCGAGGTCGGCTACCGGACACTGTGCGACACACGACGCCGTCTATTCGTGTGACCTAGTTATTAAGTACTTAATTGAGTAATTATTTTGTTTGTAATGTATGTATAGTATTTATAAATCTTTAATGTATTAGTTTATAGTATTCGATATGGGCCTGTGATGCCTGAAATAATAAAAAAAAAATAAAAAAAAGATACCGACACAAGTGCCACTAAGTAACAAGTGCTCAATTCAAGCATGCTTTCTTGATTTGAAATTAGCATGTGGAACAGAACAATACATTTGTAAAAGAAACTCACCTGTCTTCATCATATTCGCCCGGCTGTACTTCCACTTCTACATACAGAGTCTCAGATTCTTCACCAGGGTGTTGGTTTCTACAATAAATAAGTTATCATAATCATTTATTTATTTGTAACAAAGGTGGTATTACATGGACGTTCATAAGTTAAAAACAGGTTTAGTAACACTATGTATCGCCTTGCTTGGCGTACCATAAATAATTTAATTAATTCGTTGAGTACCTTCTTTGTAGACACAATTATAGAACAATAGGTTGCGGTCACCGGTGACGGCAACCTATTGTTCTATAAGTGTGTCGACAAGTTAATACAAAAAAACAAAAGTTAGTTAGTCTTAGAGCCATGCTTCGGACGAATGGGCCGGCTCGACCGGAGAGATACCACGGCCGAGCAGAAAACAAACGTGAACCAACGCTTGCGTTATGTTTCGTCGTGTGAGTGAGGTTACCGGAGGCCCAATTACCCTCCCCTTCCCCAATATCCTCAATCCCTGAATCCCCAACGATCATCAAACTCCTCATCCCCAAAAGGCCGGTAACGCACTTGTAACGCCTTTGGTGTTCCAGGTGTCCATGGGCGACGTCCATGCTTACCATCAGGTGATCCGTCTGCTCGTTTCCCGGCTTATGCCATAAAAAAAAGTTATTTTAAGTCAAGAATGTCAATTTAAAAATCAAGGTCATATGAAATTAAAATTGAACAACATCAGAAATATTCATCCTTGATATTTAAATTTTAGATAGATTATATTTATAGTACTTCTGAAGTGGCAATGGGCAGGACATGTAGCCCGGAAACACAACCCGTAGTGAAAGAATCTGCTGGAGTGCAGATCGTGGGAACACAAACGACCTGGGCGCTTACTCTTGAAACCAATCGCAATGTCAATGCAATTTCAATCCAATAAAATCTCAATAATTATTCAATGTCAAAACAATAGAACCCCTATCGTAACAGTTAAAATAGCATTCAGAATACGGAATATAAGCCACCGTAAGCGCGGGCCTGCGGACGGCGAGCATGGGTGGGTCGCCGCCTGGCCAGAACTAGACCCGAGCGTGCGGCATTTTTTATTTTCTTACAGAAATTAACACTTTCGACGATATATTGATTTAAAATGTCACGTGACGTCACTTCTATGTACAATTTCTACGTAAAAATAACGTTTTAGCCCCCACGCCTAAACTTTGATTCGTTTTATCTAAGTATTGATTTGTTGTACGACAAAATAAAAAAATACGTGTCTAATATAATTTCATTGCCTAACTTACGGACTAATTATTAATATATTTATAATTTTCATACCCTGTCATCATCCGAATTGATTGAAAAAGGCTTATGATGATGATGATGATAATGATTTTGTAGTAAAACATACTAGATTAATTGTTATTCACGACTTCATTATTATGTTTTTCGGCTTACTCACGCAATTATTTGACGAGGAACTCGACTTGATTCAAGCCATGCTAGAGGCTCATATTCAATGGCAGCATTCCGCGACCTGCGACAATAATTAATTTAGTATGTTCACGAAAGGTATAAGTTTATAACATAAATATACACAAAGAAAAAAATGGAGATGACTGAGCGATATCCGTCACTCCAGCATCAGATCATGAATATGAATTCCGATGTGACAGCAAACTAATAAGGCTTACCTCTATTAGTTCACATGTGTAAACTGTATAATTTAATCAAAAAGTTCATATTATTGTCATGTAAATCAACTGAACTGATCTAATACCAACATTTATTTACAAAGAAGTGACGTCATAACTAAAGTATAATGGCGACTAACGTTTTAATGGTAAAAGCGAAAAAAATGTGGAAAAAATAAATAAATTAGCTCTTGTGGATCAGTGAAATTATAATATTAAACATTAAAATATTTTACTATAATACATATTATAAGTTTAAATACTTTGTAGTGTTTGTATAGCTCGAATACTGAAAGGTTATTTAATTTTAACTTGTACTTAAATATCGTGCCATCTCTGTCATTTTACAAAGAGTGTAGTGACAGAACTATATTTAATGCTCGGGCCACACTAACGTCAACGTCAATGCCGATTATCGCGATGTTCGATAATTATGATATCGCGATAATTATTGCGATAATTTTAACGCGATAAAGTGCGTGGCTACACTTGAAATTTCAACGTGAATGCCCATCATGCCAAACGGCAATGTGAATGCCGTTGTCAAATTATCGCGTTGACCCGTGGCTACACCCACGGTGAAGGGTCCATTATAGCGATAAGCAATGGCATTCCTTGGTGTGGCCCGGGCATGAGAGCGACTTAAGTGGCGTTTGAGTATTTCGACATACTAACTCGAAATACTCAAACTCCGTAATATTATATGTTTATTACTCAATTACGTCATTAACAGCTGAAGGGATAGACATAAAATTTGAAACAAAGGTACTTCATGGTCTGGATTAACACATAGGTAACTTTTTACCGCACGGGAACGCGAGCAAGGCCGCGGGCATTAGCTAGTTGTTCATAGAATAACACGTACTGTACTCTTCGACGTTTATGAGGCGGTCCATATGGTGTGTCTGAGGACTCTGCATTCTGCGACCAGTGTATTCTAAGTGCGCACTCCACGTCGGCCTCGTTGGCGCCGGTGCACTGAGCCGTGCGCTGTCGGAGCTGTGCGCGCGTCAACTCCGGACACTCATTAGCGAAGTACTGGTATGCGTTTACTAGCACTGCGTTTGTTTTTTCCTAAAAAAACAAGGTTGTTCGTGTAGTACCAATCACCCTATATTTTTTTTTAAAGTCAAAATCAGTAATTTCAGTTTGACCAGCAAAGTACTTTTGAATGTCAACAAAATTTTAAAAGTGAATGTATTTGCTCATTCCAAGGTGTACATTCTAATGGAAAACAGAGAGCTTTAAATAACTTTATGAAAACAAGTCTTTATGCAGCTTTGCATTTATGGTCATGCAAACTGAACAAATAGACAAAATGTTATGATATCTATAGGAACGTTTTTTTGGGCCGAGGCCGGGTTATGTGGGGCTCGACCCACTAAAAACCTCGGGGTGTGCCACTCGCGCATAAGGGCGGGCCACAAGAACTGTAATTTCGCACTTCGTTCGCGACCCGCCCTGCAATCTATAGGAACCTACTTCAACCGATCTCCTTCAAAATTTTGTTGCAAGATTCCATTTCATGTTCGTGAACGGGCGCCGTCAACTGGGACTGGTCAGCTCCAGACTGTATTATTGTTCTTAAGGTTATTTTCTTTCTTGATCACTTTGACTGGATTTTGGTGTTACATTGTTCTCGCACAATCCAAACAGCAAAACTATGTAACTAGTAAATTGTATTGTGAACCTGATTGAAAAAGAATAACCTATGGAGTTTCTTGCTCGTTCTTCTCCATAGGAATCTACACTTTGGAATGAGCAAATAGCTTCACTTTTAATATTATTTTTATTTTGACGTTCAAAAGTGCCATTCTGGCCTAATTGAAATAAATGATTTTGACTTTGACTTTGAATCAAGTCGACGATCAAATGGCAGGTGATCGGCAAAGATCTTCACTTATCAGAAAGTATTATAAAAAATCCAAGTTAGATGGTTTTAAAATTACAATTACTTATGTGTTATCTACGAAAATTTTATTGCGAATACATTTTTATTTCTCCTTTATTTAGTAGGGGGGTTTTATCCACATGGATATGTCAACCCCATTGTAACTTATACTCTATTTTCATAAAATTATTAAACACCTATTATTAACACATTTCGTACCTACTTAAAACTGTGCTTATGGCATACGAAGGGGAATTACTGCCTAGAACTCTTCATTAGGGTAGAAATAATGCATTTAGGCATTTCCTTCATTTTAGGCATTTCATTTTCATTCATTTTTCATTCACCCTGCCTGGTGAGCTAAAATATTTTGCATAAGTCCAAAATCCCACAAGTTTATACTTGGTTCATGAAAAACTACATTCTGTTCTGAACTAAAGCAGTTGGCTCAGAATTTATGATTCAATAATACTGGAGCACTATTCAGGAAAACGTGTGCAAAATACTGACGAGAAAATAAAGAATTGTAGCAACAAGAAACAAAAGACTGGCACAGGGCGTACTATGTCGTGGGTTGTAACACATTGTAATTTAAAAACTATTTAACTTGAACTTTTTTAAATATTTTTCTGGTAACTGTTAGGATCTCGCCCATCACCTGGTGCTATTTAATCATCGACTGCAGAGACACCCTGTATATACTTTGGCCCGATGCGATTTGTCAAGGAATTGGGAGGTCATAAGCGGCAGCTTAGAGGCATCTACCCATAAAACCTTCGTCCCGAATGTCACGGTTGGTCACATATTATGTTTTTTTTCAATGAAATGAAAAATGTATCCACAATGAATCTTAATAACCGTTTTGTTTGTGGATCTAGTGGCCCAATTTACATTTTGTTGTATACTCCAGTACTTAAGTCTATTAAAAGTAAATAATATTTTTGAAACAATAGCTTTTAAAAATATATATATACAAGCTTTAAAAATCATGAGTGAAATTTGAGACAAAGGGATTATGGGTCCTTCCAAATCCTTCATAAATTTGTGTAAGTCCATGCGCCAAACATCTGTATAGGTAATAGAATAAGGGACATCCCACATTTAAAAAGCACCGCTCCAATCCAGCCATTAAGTTGTCATTTAAATATGAACTTTAAACTGTCAAACACCAAGACGAGTTAAATCGTATGTCGTATGATACATTTCGTAACGTTAATACAAAAGCCGACGGCGGATGGTCAGCGCGCGGTCCCCTCGAGGTGTAGTCGAGGCCCCGCGCGGCGTCGACGAGGCGTCGGCGACCCGCCCACCAGGCGCCAGCGAAACAACGTCGCATCGTAGGTATGTATTGTAATACTAGAGGTACATTTACATGCTCGCGCGAGATGACACGAGGTTGAGGTACATTGCAGTCTTATAATGCGAGAAAGACTACAACTGTTTTAGAATACCGACAATGTATCTCGGCCTCATCATGACTCGCGCGAGAGTGTATATGGTGCATAAAAGCTTTCACCTCGCGGCCGGTGCGCCGCCCGCCAGTTGGAATCGCGCGGTCACCGCGCCGATGCCGCGCCGGTGCCGTGATTTTTAAATGTGGGATGACCTTATATTAACTCGTCGAGTACCGTCATTATAGACACAATTATAGAACAATAGGTTGCGGTCACCGGTGACCGCTTGGTGTTAGAGTTCAAAACAAAAGCTTGTCATATCTTACTTTCTGTTTATCTTCGACATTTATATTGGTGCTGCATTCAGGACAGACAACCATTCCATTATTTCTTCTTGTTGCTGACTCACGAGTCTGAAACAAATAAACATAAATGTTATTATTAACATAGTAATGTGAGCTGTGAACATAATTGTAATGTGTAGTCGTTATAAATAAACAAATACACCACTCCAGGAGTACTTGTTATATCTGATATTTGGTTCACACTTTTGTAGACACAATTAAAACAATGGGTTGCGGTCACCGGTGACTGCTAGGTGTTTGACAGTTTAACTCGTCGAGTACCGGTTTTGTAGACACAATTATAGAACAATAGGTTGCGGTCACCGGTGACTGCTAGGTGTTTGACAGTTTAACTCGTGGAGTACCGGTTTTGTAGACACAATTATAGAACAATAGGTTGCGGTCACCGGTGACTGCTAGGTGTTTAATCATGATGACCATAGAATATTATCCTATTTTTTCCACTACAACCTCCATTATGGATATCAAATGTAAAGGCTTGATTTGTGTTTATACTTATTATAAACTAGCTGTGCCCGCAACTACGTTCGCGTAGAATAGTGACTATGAGCAGCGTTTTTTTTTTAAATATATACTTATTTTTATTTTAGATTTGGATCATAATCACAGTCATTTTGGGTAGCTAAAAAACCTACTTTACTGTAATGCTTCTCTATATACAATATTAGACGTATGGCCATCGGGGGTGAAAGCATACAGGCTGCTGGGATTGCTAACACGGGACAGAGCCACATACAATTGACCGTGCGAAAAACAGCTGATACTTAGATCTATACCCACAACTTTTAGAGTCTGACCTTGAGCTTTATTAATTGTCATGGCGAAACATAGGCTCACTGGAAACTGAATTCGTTTAAAATTAAACGGAAAATTTTTTGGAATGAGAGGAATCTGAGGAATAAAACCACTATCACCTTTTCCGCACCCTGTTAAATATATATATATTTATAAGCCATTTCTGAGATTAGCGTGAACAGACAAACAGACAAACAGACAAAAAAAAAGTTAGTTACATTTTTGGGTTCGACATCGACATAACAATAGCCCCTGCTATTTTTTTTATTTTTATTTTCAATGTACAGACAGCACTTTTCTACAATTTTATTATATGTATAGATAGATAGATAGCGTTCGACGTGATTCTTTAATTTGACGTAACTTTTTTATTTATGAACCGATTGACATGAAACAAAGACTAAAGCATAACTGAAGCATACCACAATATATTCGTGAAAACCGCATCCAACTCGGATAAGCCGTTTCTGAGATTAGCGTGAACAGACAAACAGACAAATAGACAAAAAAAAGTTAGTTACATTTTTGGGTTCGACATCGACATAACAATAGCCCCTGCTATTTTTTTTATTTTTATTTTCAATGTACAGACAGCACTTTTTTACAATTTTATTATATGTATAGATGTGGTAGTTTAGCTAAGCTAGTAGAAAATCTTAATTACTAGCCCCGTGGCTTCACTTGCGTCACAAAAGACTAAAAAATAGCCTATGTGACTATCCATTAATTCAACTACCTTCGATTAAAAAATTATGTTTAATAGTACCTCAAGTCTTTGCTGGCGCTGAGGTAGCTCAGCAGCTCTCGAAGGAGCGTGACACTCTGCTTGATTGCTTCTTATTAATTCAGCATAGAGAGACGATTTTTGAGCTCGGGCAATTTTCATTGAACGAGCTTTATTTGTGAGGCTCGACAAATCAGATTTACGTTTGCGAGGCATTGTGGAAATATGAGTGAACTAAAAACTGTAAACCTAAAGTATAAACTCACTATTAGACTACTAACTACTTTACTAGTTTTTGTTCTATTTACTAGTGAAAAATCATCCAATGACTGCTCCCGTCTTGGGTAAGGTGAATGTCAGGCTCTTGCTGTTCAAACACTAACATTAAGGTCGCAAGTGCGACTGCCGGGTAAGGGGTCTCGGCTTCGATTCGGGTCGGGAAAAGTATCGATGGGTTTTTTAAAAATCTTAGTAGTAGCACGGAGTCTGGAAATGTGCCCGGTATATGGCAATAAGCCCACCCCCTATTACATGGAAGTCATAACATATAGTGAAAAGCGGGTGTTACATTGCACAGTGGCAATAAGTGCCGTAATGACCACCTCTACCTACCCCTTCGGAGATAAAAGGCGTGATCCGCGTGATGTTAAGAATGAATAAAATTATGTATCGTGTTTGACATAATATGTGATGTCTATGCAGCTGTCAGTGTCAGTATCACATTCGATATCAATGTAAACAATGTATTATTCAATTCATATCTAATTTTATCTTTGGAACTCCAATAACAATAATGTTGCTTTGTGTTTATGAATTATAAGATAATGTGATCACCATTAAAGTGAGTCGTTTATAATAATTAAACGCAACATCCACTTTGATTGTGTGAAATAGTGATAGTAACAGTAAACACAGGTAAACACACCTTCTTCCGTGCAAGTGTCCACGCGTATATTAGTAATAAATCGTCAATATCAGACTCACTAGAGTCACTGAACATATTTCTAATGATTTATTTCAACACTAATTTCTGACACCGAAATCCAAATAAGCAGCCAAGACAGGGAGAAAAATAAGACCACAGATTATAAAGTTACCTTCATAAAGTAGACACGCTAGAAACTTTTGGTCTTGGCAATATTGGATACAGTGACATCTATTTGTTATTTCTCATACCATTTTCGATGAAGTTTTAACAGACAAAAGATAGTGACCGATGTTTTGTTGGTCACAAATGTGATACCAATTTTAGGTTTCTTGAAAATTACGAAATTCTCCATACAAACTTCCACCCACTGTTTTAGGGAAGTGATGGGTTAGAAATACAGAAAATATAGCCTATGCGACTTTTAAATCCCTTCAACATGGACCTTAAAAACAGGGTTCTATGGCCTATGTTAACTGACATTTTCACAAGCAAGTTTCATGCCAATGGATGATTGACAATAATTTTTATGTTGTCGAGATATAACATTAAGGTATGCAAAGAGGCTGAATACTATATTATTAACCTAATTGATTGAAATACGGTTCAACGAGAGTTTGAGACACTTGCACTGGAAAGGAAGTTTATTTGTTTGTTATACGTTTGTTGTTTCGTTAATAATTGTACGCTTTGGATGATAGAAATGCGACGGTGGAAGCAAAAATCCGTGCTTCTTTTTGGTATACCACTTTTTTTTAGAAATTAATCTTGAATATACTATATTATTTACAAATGAATTTTAATATAATTCAAAATTTTTAGCAATAGCAATACTTACGTGCAATAATTCATTTTCAACAGGTCTATCAGAACTTTTCTTTTTTAAAGATATTTTTTTTTTTCGTTGTTGCATTCGCTGAACTCTCCGTTGATATTTTTCACTTTTTTGCATCAATTGATCTTTGAATTTTTGAAGTGCAGCTGTGTCAATGATACGAACTTTTTTATGAGAGGCGTCATTGCTATCAACTACCAAAGGTGCTGAAACGTCTGAATTTCTGAAAACAGTATGTCATTGAAAATTTATTTTATAGCAATTGAGCTAATAATATATAAAACTTATATATGAATATTATTACTTCCGACAATTATAAAATTTAAGAAATATCTACAATAAAAAAAACCTTAAACTGTCAAACACCAAGCGGTCACCGGTGACCGCAACCTATTGTTCTATAGGTAATTGTGTCTATAATGACGGTATTCGACGAGTTGTATTCTTACTTTGTTGAATTCATTGATACATCATTTGATTGTAATTCGACATATGTACTCGCTGAAATGTCACTATAGTTTTTATCAATACAATCTTGTAGAGATGACTCAGGTATAGAAAGCTCAGGTGGGATATCCATTACTGGTTTTGAAGTTTCTGTAATAAAAATTGACATAAAACATCTATTTCAAACGATTTTTTTTAATTGTTAATAAAAAAATTCGTTCAATTATCACCTGTTGTTTTAGTCAAATATAGAGATGGAACACAATCAGGTTTGAGTATTTCTCTGTTGTTGACTAATCCATACCGAAAACAACACTTCTCGAAATGAATTGAACAGACTGATGTCCGTTTACCTATATTAACATCACTTTTTCCAATAATGCTTAGCCATTTTTGTTTTTCTGATTCTATAGACGGAAATCTAAAATAAATGAGAAATATATATTTAAAAAGTTGCTTAGAGACAGTGTATTGATAATTAATAACTATAATAATTTGTAATAAATGTACATAACCTTAAACTGACATTTTTTATATACATACTTGTGAAAAGATCTTCGCGGTTCTTTATCAGCTCTCCATTTGCATATAAAACAATATTGAACCATTTTTCAGATGTTTTTATTTTCACAATAATTAATCTAATAAATAAATTAAAACATAACAAAAACAATCAGTCTTTACTACAAACACATCGTACGCAACGCACGATACAATACTGAGTAACGTGAACTGTGGAGTGATGCGATGCTAGCGCTTATAATAGCTAAGGGCGAAATAAATTTATATGCCGTGCTGAGCGCCAATCATCTACGAGGAAGAGATAGCGCTAGACCGAAAGCATAGGCCATCTCTCTCACTCTTTGCAAACCAAAAAATTACTGCAGATTATACGCGTAGGTACGGCATGTCCATTAGTATATGTCGATGGTTCTATCCCGGAAATATCCTACATAATTTAATTTTTAATATATCGCACCTACACGGTGCAAAATCGTCACTTATGCAATTTTGTCAAAACTTGACTGATTATGAAAGAATACTCCAAATTCACCTCTTTACTTGGTGCGTTATTATCATTTGTGTAGTACGCAAACTGTCCTCGTGAGGGCATTGCTGTTGTTACGGTTTTAGCGCTAATCTGGATGGCACTGGGAGAACTAAACAACGTTTCATTGTTCAGTTGCGCGCGGGGCGCGGGCCCCCGGCCCCCGCAATACATAAGTGACGTTTGTATAGCACCGGAGGTACGATATTATAGTTACCTAATCGTTTTGACTGTTTTTAATTTTAATTTTTTATTTTATTATGATTATGACGTTGTTTTTAATTTTGATTGTTAAGATTTAAAAAATGACTTGACTCCTAAATACTACAATTTCAATTATACTTTTATCTTGTATTGCATTTGATATTGATTTTAGTGTAAGTTACTTATTTTTTATTTCTACGAACGACATGTCAAAGTGTCCCTCCAAAACTTATATATCCCTCCAAATCTTATATTGTTGTGCCCGACAGGGTTCACATTGTGTCCCAATATGTCAACCACGTAATACATGCGAAAAGCAATAAAGTATTGAGTATTGAGCACGTCAAGAAGGATTTAGGACTCACGATTCACGACTCGTCAAAGATTTTATTTTAGAACAATTAGTAGAGGGGAACGACTCGTGAATTTCACTACACATCAAGTAAACTACAACAATAACAAAAACAGATTGACATTTGACGTTCATTTGTTTTGATACGAACCAAGCATGGAAACTAAACGTTTCGTTTTTTCATCGCTTGATATAATTTATTGCTTTCTCTCCATATTTTCTTCTTATATTTTTATTACATTACTGTTTTTAAAAGAATAAAATCCTTAAGTCTACAATCATGCGAAATATTATCAATTGAAAGTTTGAAACTTTATAATTAAATAAGCAAAAAAATTTCGTTTGTCATTGTAGAAAAAAATATCGTAGTTCATAACTTCCTAATTTAGATGTCGCTATTGTATAATAGCAATAGCAAATATAAAACATTGCTTCAGATTTTTTCTCCATTCATAAATAATTATATATTATATTATTAATTTGTAGATTAAGAGCTACGAAATGTTTAATTATTATTACTGGCCATCACAATGCCTGTTTTGTCGCACAAACGTACAGTTTTACGAGAAATAAACACGTCGCTGTTCATTTTTATTATTGAACCTATTTCAATACATTTGACTATAGAATAAAATTCTGTTCCATCCTAATTCCATATCCATCCATGCTTGAGAGAAAAATGTGAATCTGAAAAATAATCCCACGGAGTCGCCACCATTTCCCAGCGCTCGTCGGGACACATCGGGTTCCTTCGGTGCTTGTCGGTACCTAGGTACTTGTTTTGTGCCTAAGCATGTGTAGTGTTTCGTGCATTGTAACGGCCCCTGCCCCTACTACCTGCGTGGATTGCCCGCGCAGACCAATCCGTTATGTACGGTACAAAAACAGGTTAGAACCGGTTCAGCCGTCACCGTACTGGTACGTGTTGTATATTTTTGCAAAAATGGACGTGGATAACCATGCTCTGATAGCATTAGTATTAGAAAGAAAGGCTTTATGGGACAAACGGCATAAGTTTCATACCAACAGAAATGTCACTGGTAAATATTGGAAAGAGATTTGTTCGGAACTGAAGCAGGAAGGTAAGTACGTATCTTCTTTCAATACAATATTATAGATGCGAATGTGTCCGAGTTAGTTTATTTATGTGTGTGTTTATTAAGTACTCAATCACGTCAAATAGACTGAAGGGTTGCAGATGAAATTTGGAACAGGAGTCGATTATTTTCTGGACTCGAATAGGCTACTTTTTGCACCACGAAAACGCGGACGAAGCCGCTGACAGAAGCTAGTATGTACCTACTTAATATTATTAATAAGAAAGGTTTCATTGTTTATTTGCATTGAATAGGTTTGGATGCGAATATAAACATTTAAAAATGCCATGGTAGGTATTAAGTAATTCGCGGGACGATCTCCGGCCACCGTAGGTGCGGGTTTGCGGACGGTGAGCAAGGGTAGCTCGCCGCCCAACCAGAACCAGACCCGTGCGTACCGCGCATCGCGTTACGTGTGCGCCTCAAAGAGCCATCAGACCACCACAGATGGGGCCCAGTAGGGCTGATGCCCGGTACGGAGCCGCGGAAGGCCTAACGGGTGGCCGGGGCTCCGGCTCGAAGAACAGGAGTAGGAACGGGGTGGTAATTAATTAATCAGTAAGAGGCTGACACTCCCTCTCGTCAACCCAAGGCGGGAGAAGTCAATTGGATGATTTTCCACCCGTAAAAAAAGGTAGTAATTTGTAGGTAATCTCTGCACGAATTCTTGTCAAACTTGATTCTTTTGAACGGCGATCACTCCTTTACAACGTAAAGATTGTGGCAACCCGTCTTGTCCAGGGAAGGTACATAGTCAAGAAATCGTTCTCATACACGCTTATGATGATGCAGATGCAGATTAAAGCTAAAGAGAGGGCTGTAGGCAAGCACCTGATAGGCGCCCGTCATTTCTTTTCGCATCGCCGCCACTCTATAAACAGAGGCCTTAGTACCAGTGCCGGATTTATATTGTCTATGAGTGTAGGCCACTTTTTTCCGCCCCCCATGCGTCTACTTACCTTTCTAAGATAATAAATAATTTATTCACAAAAAATATATAAACAGAAATTTCGTATGTCTTAATTCTATATTCTTATTGCTATGTTATGCCATGTGCCTGAACTAGGTTTGAAACCTGTACCTAAGGCAATAAAAACCTCTTAGCATAGAGAACTTAAGGTCTAATTAACAATAATTATATAATCATTATAATATTAAATTATTTGATTACTCAAATTATACCTATATATAGAAATGTATACCTAATCACTTAATAAATTAACTTGTTTCTAATTTTATTTACATACAGTCAGCAAAAATTCGGTCTGGTCATAAGTCAGTTGTTGCAAATATGTGCTGACACGTTTTTTGCATTGATAGCAATTCAAGTTGTAAATACAAAGTTGCTTATTTAGCCTATTATATAGAGGTAAGTAGGGTCCTGGAAAACTATAGAATTTATTACTGTACATAAATTTTGATGTCGAGTGCGAACTGCAAACTATATCATTTCGTCTCTTCTTTACAGTGTTGGTATCATAAGGGATCTGCGTGTGTTGCTTCAATATCACTTGCGTTATGTATAGTTGCCTTACAGTTAGTACCTTACAGGATTTGTATAGTTGTTCTGTGGGGAAAAGGAAAGGATAGGAGTGTGCTACTTTTAATATTGCTCTCTGTGCTCGTTCCAAAGACAGCATAGAGGTTTTAGGTACACCACCCCATGAAGTAATACAATAAGTGATAATGGACTGACATAGTGCCATGTACACTTGAGTTATTAATTTAGTATCGGCAATTTTTCGCAATATTTTAAATACAAACATAAGTTTGCGTACTCTGGATACCAAACTCTCAATGTGTGGCCGGAAAGAAAGTGTGTCATCAATAATGATGCCAAGATACCTATTTTATGTGACGAGTTTTGAGGATTTTAGGACATTCACAGGAGTATGTCGAGAGGGCATTACATTTATGCACTGTAAGTTCAGTGTTAGTAGTATTAGTTTGATTTTTACGCATGGAAAAGAGCAAGTACTTTGTTTTGTCAACATTTAGTGTTAGTAAATTGTAGTTTAGCCAGTTATTTACAGAATAAAATTCCCTCTGAGCGTTCTCATAGAGTTCTGTGATTGTTTTTGCGGTAAAAATAAGCGCTGTGTCGTCTGCATATGAAATTATTTTTCCGTTTTGTATGTTTATATTACAGAGATCATTAATATAGATAAGGAAAAGGGTCGGGGCGAGAATACTACCTTGTGGTAATCCAAAACCATGGTTCCCTCGGTCTTCACTTGTGGTCGTATCAATTCGAACACATTGAGAGCGATCATTTAGATAGTTTGTTAGTAGTGTTAGTTGTGTACCCCTTATGCCTATTGCTTCCAATTTATGTAAAAGAAGAGGAATAGAAACAGTATCAAATGCTTTGGCTAGGTCTATAAAAATTGCTAAGCAGTGATTGCCTTTACCAAGTTCTTCAGATACGAAATTAGTTAGGCTATGAACAGCGTCCGCTGTAGACAGTTTTGATCTGAAGCCGAATTGCCTGGGTGAAATCAGGCCATTTTTCTCCAGATAATT